CAACTACCAACTAATTCCATCCGCGGAGTTCCGGCTCCGTGTGGAGGCGCGACGAAATGGAGGAGAGACCGAGCAGGGGGAAAAAACGCCGCGGGGGTGGAGGGAGAGTGCAAGAAGCACTTCAATCGCAGCACTTTGGCTCGAGCCGCGTAATTTATGCGTTCAATACCCGACCGCGGCACCCGGCCAGCCATTCCGGCTCTCGGAAAAAATATATTAATTCCGGACTCCTTTAAAAGTTATTGCAAAAGGAGTTGGTTACGCGGGTGGCGAGCGGCCGGGGGGGGGGGGGGTTGGCAACCACGAACTTTCCCGCGATGTAAATGACTTCCGCGATAAAATATGACGACGCTTGTGGACAAATCGCAGGTGCGACTGTGTGGGAACACGGGCGGCTGCTCTTCTCGCGGCTACGCCTATGCGCGAAGCGCAAAAACACCTTCGCGTTACTTTTATGACGCTTGTTATAACTAATTCTTTATAACTTTTCTAAAGTTTTGTTGTTTATAATTCGATGAACAGTGCGAAGCTGCATGATCGTCACGCCGAATCCACGCAGTCGAAGGCCACGCCCGCGAGCGAGCGCCACGCCCCCGAACGCCCATCTCCTTTAACACTCCGCTGTCACTTCGTACTCGGAACACGCGTGTCATACTGCTGGTCACACTCTGACCCGGTTCAGTTTACAAACTGTCGCTCAAAAACTAGCCGCACTATCGAGACCAAAAAAATTCAGGACACAATTTGAACATTCTAGAACATCGTTTTCCCAATTGGAACTCGATATCTCGCTTCCAAGTATATCGAATTAATTTATGCTTCTCGTGAAAATATCACTTTTTCGAGAAAAAGAAAATGTGGGACATGTCGAGACTACGCGAGGAGCTCAGACAAAAATGATCTTTCGACTATGCAACTCCTTCCGCGGAAAACCACCCGCGGCCACACCCTCTAACAATAAGTACGCGTCGCCCAGTGGCGGCGCATTAACGCGGATCCAGGTGAGTCTTAACGATCGCCGGTTGAAAAACAGAATTACCCGGAACAGAATCGAACAATACCGGGCCGGAGATGGAAAAGTAAGAAAAACCGAGGGGATCAGGCGGAGGGAAACAACGTCTTTACGCGGCGTTGTCCTTATAAAGCAGCTGGTAATTCTCACGTTATCAGCGAGATTACCAGGGGGAGCCGGGAGGACCTTAAATAAGATCTTAAAATACAGAACGGTAATCCTCGAGACGCCCGGGCGACGTAACATTTTCATTTCACCGAAGCCGCCCACCTCCCCTCCCACCCGGCGCCTCCGCGCCGGAGCCATTCAGCCCGCGGTGAACTCCAATTTTCTATTCGCATGACTTTTTCGCGCGGGAGCCGCGTTGTCCGGCAACGAGATGAAAGCACCGAAGCCCGGCTCGACCTATTTCTCATCGTAACGACTCGACGGAAACGAGAAACGCGAGGGATGTTGCGTTATTTTCGAATAATGAGTTTGTTTGCGTCGCCAGCCACGCGTAAACGCGGCGGGCTCTTCGCTGCGGATGACTCGGGGTGGGCGGTGCTCGGGCCGGCCCCTCGCGGCGACGCCTTTGCTCGCCCTCGTCGCTCTCTTTCGGCGCGGAAAGCGCTAATGGACGTTTCGAATTAGCATCTGCATCTTCGCTTCGAGTTTGCGATAATTAATTGCTCCCGTTGCCCCCCGAATGCGTACGCCATTGGCTTTCTCGTTTCTCTTGCTCTATCCGGGCGGCGTGCAAACTCCGAACGGAGCTTTAAAACTATTGTGCGCCGGCTTTTGTGGCTTTTAAACAAACCCAAAATGATGACAAACAATGCGCGCACTTGTCTTTGTTCGAAAAATTGCTAATTTTAGGGGAACGCGGCCGGGGCCACCGGGCTTAATGGATCTGAAGAGCCGAGGGGGGTGGGGGCGGGGTGGCCGCGCTTTAACGTTTCATTAAAGGAACGTTGAACCATTTCCCGGTGATTCTCTCTGGTTATAGTAACACGGACAAACTCCGTCCGGCCGATGTGTGTATCGGGTTACGAGTTCGCCGGTGAAAATAGCCTTTTGCCCGCGTTAGTGGCGCGTCGGTTAAAGACTTAAGGGCGGCCCGCGGCTGTCTCAGAACTTTATCTAATCGTCTCTGCGTCGTACGAACCGCGGGAACGGAATAACAAAAATATAGTTGTACGAGAAAAGTGACCGGAGACGTCGCTTTCCTCCCCCCACCCCCCTTTGCTGCGCGTGCCAAATTCAACTTCTCCCTTTTGCAGCGCGCATCGAACTCGGACTTCCTTCTTCGCGGTGTACACGAAACTTCGACGTCGCCCTTAGCAGCGGTATTTTATTATGTACTCGACGTTTAAACGACTTCTAAGAAACTCGGCTTTAGGGACGCGACGCTTGCTTGTGTAAGACTCGGCGTGGAAGACGGTCTCGGACGCTTCCTTAGAGCGTCGCGACGCTGTTCTCCGTTCGATGCCGAGGTGGAATCCTTCGGCACTTGCGTCGCGACGTCTCCGTCCGTATCTAAAATTACTGGCAGCAGCCGAAGACGATGCATTCGCATTCGGTCCGGTGAGCCGTGCGAAAACGAGAGCCACTACAGGCTTACGGCCTAATACAGCCCCTATTTTTGGAGCGTCGCGCTGACGCCACGGCAGAGACAACTTTCCGTAAAAGAAAATCGACGTTTCTTACCCCCCTTACCCCGTACCCGCTCTACGCCTCCCCCCACCTTCCTTAACATTCTGACCTCGGGAATTATTATTGTCGAAACCCCTCCTCCCTATTTCTCCAATTACAATTGTAAAAAATGCCTTTATATTTTTTCTGCGGCGTGTCGTTATTAATAGAAACGTTGCTCAATCAATCGTTAGCAACCTCTTCGCTGTGTTCCTCGATACTCTAACTACAGACCCCTCCCCCTGTTTTCCAATTAAAATTATAAAGTCGCATTGCTTGGAATTTTGATGCAATTAATGTCGTGCTTTTTTGAAATTGCGGATTAAGATGTGGAATATAAAAGAAACACGAAGAATCGCGTTGAACTATATATGCGAATAAATTATGTTCACAAGTGTGCAACCGTGCTACGTCAACGCTATGATAGATAGTCAATGCGCTCGCGCTCGTCCGCCCTTCCACACATATCCAGCATTATTTATGTACAATGATATTTTAAGTTGAATATTTGGCAACCACTTCTGGCGGAAGAACGAAACTCGTTTGCATTCCACGCTTATCATCTCATCTGCAATTTCGTGCTAGGAATAGCGTACGCGTGATCATAGTCGTCAACTTATTGCTCCGCGATATATAAATATCGTGAGAAGCTGAATGATCGAGAAACCCGTAACAAGATTGAATTAGAACGCTGTCAACACTTCCCGTAGTTTTGCCGTGACGAATTCAGAGGAATCGTTCCTGCCGAATGCAAAACCCACCCCCGTGTCGCCAGAAATCGCGGGAACCGTTAAATTCAAATTTCGCTCCAGTTCCAGCATTGACAAAAAAAAATGGCGTCGCCGCGGAGAACTTCAAAGGGCAATAATTGTCCGCCACGGTGAATCCCCGCCGGAGACTTCCCGTTAACATTGAAAAATTAAGCTAGGTCGCTGCATAAATTACCATAGCTCGCGACGCAGTAAAACTGTCAAACGACGCCATTAATCCCTAACGTCTTTTATACGCCGGCATTTTTCCGTTAAACAGGGCCCCGGGCAGCGTGCTTACTCAAAATAACTAAATTGATCCCATTAAACTCCCTTAAACTACCACTTTATGGCCGGTGTCGCGAACACCTAATGAAACGTGTATCTCAAACTGATAATAAAATGGTAGCACGGCTTGGTAGTATCCTGGCCGCGGAGCGTGCCAGTGCGACCTCCTCCCCCCACCCCCATAAAAAATCTCCACGGAATAACAATTACATTTACACGTTGTTTAATTTGTAGCGGGGACGAGTTCGAATCGGCAGAACTCGTGTTCGAAGCGCTGGCGAGCTGGCTAGCAAGATCGTTTGTCGCAAGTATTATTTATAGAACGTTATTTGCAGCAATAACGTCGCTGGCCGGTATCCAGCACTTGTACAATGTAGTGTTAAACGAGCAATTAATAGTTTTTCTTTTTGGAAATTCGTTTTGGTAAATTATTGCCGTCGTCCGTGGACTTTTAATCATTTTCTTTATGCCACTCCATTCTTTGCCGATAGATGAGCAATTTTTCTACGTAACATTTTTTCCTAGCTCTGTTAGCTTGTTAGATATTCCGGAGAACATATGACAGATCCCCTAACTTCAGGTGTTTACCTTGTACACAAAGTCTACGCAAGACCTAGAAGTGCTAGATTACACTGCCCTTAAAATTCCTAGATGGACATGTCCTATGCTAGCCGGAAGACCATCTCATCCACAAATCCCATCCACAACAATTCCTACAAGCTGCCACCCATCGGAGTGGCAATATTACAAAAAAGACAATTTAACTGCAATTTGCAACAAGTACCAACAGATTAAGAGGCCAGCCGTCAAGCACCTGATCATAATTCTCCCCATAACAAATACTAGCTTTAGAGCTCATCGTAGGGAGCTGATTCAAAGTCATCTTGAAACTTCAGTAACCCATAAACGAATCTCCAAAAGATGTAACATCCCTACACCGATACTGCTCCCCGTTCAACGACGCCGGAACGCATCCTATGCTCTCTGTACGTCTTTGTAAGGCATGGTCTCGCCCAAGAAGAAGAAGAATCATGCAGAGAGGGTCGGCAGGGGGCTAGGCGGGGTCGAGAGAAAAAGAGAGAGAGAGAGAGAGAGAGAGAGAGAGAGAGAGAGAGAGAGAGAGAGAGACAGAGGCCTGGGTAAGTTATCACTCGAGTCTGGGCCAGGAATAGTCGCCATGTGGTGGCAGCCGTGGGACTGACTATTTTCGGGTAAAGACAAATTTGGCGCGATGCGCTGCGAGGGAGCGGAGCCGAGCCGAGCCGGCACAGCTCGCGGTAGACTCAAGTGTAAGCTTACATGTGCCTTTGGGGGGCGACGAACACGCGGAGGCCAATGGGATCGGCGCGGCCATTTTTAGAGGACTCCGCGAGGCAAAGCGTGGTCTGAAACCGCTGGTAGCATTCAGTTTGAAGCAGCCGGCCGGTCAGGAGCCTTTCCTCTCCGTTTCGTCTCGCGATCATCAGCGATCATCATCCTGCAATTTGCTCAACTTTAGTCCAACCGATCTTTCATTCTGACTAGTGAATTCCAACCAGGCGGCTGGTGACAACTTATCAGTGGATTACGCAACCCCCAGGTACTACAAGTGACCAGACTCACCGGGAGATACCTTAAGCCGGGCCACTGTTCCGTGCTTCCTTACTTCCCATAGTGAATGCGACGTATGGAATGTAAAGAAGTATGGAGCTGCGCCCAGGTGACCATCTATCTCCAAACTTTCTCAGCCTGACAAGACATAGTTTTGCTGCAACAGAAAATTCCCACGGTTTAGCGCTGAAGGACACCTTAGCTGGACTACGAAGTCCGGGGAGCGGAGCCTTCGCGAAGAAAGTGGCAGACCCTGTTCCGGATGGGCCGAACGGGGTATTTTTGGTTCGCAAGAGGATTGCGTTAGCGTTAGGGTATCCGCTGGCAGCCGAGCTCAAGTCAGAAATAGACGGCTCTCCATGGGTTCGAGCGTCCATGTGGACGATCCTGATCGCTATTTACTGACCTGCCGTGACTACCATGTGGTCGCCAGCTTTATTTAAGGCTCCCAGACGCCGAGCCCGGCCGCATGCGCTAGATTTTATTCTTGCAGATGGAAGAGGACTCCAGTGAGAGGGAAAAGTGTTTCCAGAATAATTGGAGAGAGAGAGAGAGAGAGAGAGGGTAATCCTCTTGTAACAATTTTTCTCTGTAAGTAGTTTCCGGATTCCAGATTGAAAGTGCGATAACCACGTGAGGGTTGCTTGGGTAAGTGGGACTGTACCGTTTGAATTCCGCGCCGAAATTTTGAATCTGTAAAATTAAAAAATTGTCATGTTTCGGTCGGCTTTATAATTGCACTCTATTCTGCTCGATTTTTCAGTTCTACTATACTTTAGTTGATTTTTCAGTTTTGCTATATTTTTATTAAGTTTCTGACTTTGCTATGTTCCTACAGAGGGTGCAATTTTGCTATGTTCTTTTAGAGGGTGTAATACTTCGATATTCTTGTAACAAGCGTAATACTGCTATATTCTTCTAAGGGATGGAATCTTCTTGTAAGGGGTGTAATGTTCTGGTAAAGCGTGTAATTTAATATATTTTGGTCAATTTCATTGCAGGCAGAATGGGAACAGGAAGCCAAAAGAAGATCGTCTTTCGACGAGTCAAAAATAGGACGTGTGTTCGGACGCCGCCACGTTTCCATAAATGAGTTCTCCGGTTACAAGGTCTATTTCCGGTCCATGCCGACAACAGGAGGCTCGGAAGTCACGGTGCAACAGGAAGATTTTTATTTCATCTAAAATCTAAAACGTGATCAGATTATGTAGATCTTGCTTGATTATTTGATTTTAATTAGAAGTAAAAAGTAAATTGGGTATGAATTTCTGAAGTTACTGTAATGTATTCTAACATCTTGTATAATATTATGTATAAATAATAAGTAAATGAGTGCTGATGCGTTATTCCTTATAACAACCGCTGGATCATAAATGTATTGTTAATAGTAGATCATAAAATAGTGTATAAAAATCTCAATTCAATATTACTCCAAATAAGTCGCTGAGAGAGAACATTGTATTTTATATAAATGAATGTGTAAATTATCTAATTCGTTGAACAGTTCATCAAAGTTAGAAATAAATGTTCGAACCTAATTGTAGAGTTATAAAAATAGATTCAACTGCTAATAATGTGCATTTGAAGCCCGGGAAAACTGTTTTATCGACCTTATGGATCCTTTCTCGGTAAATTTAAGATTTTCAAAATTGAAGAGAAACAATTGTCATCAATGAGAAGCAATAAATATAATTACACATTAGAAGCTTGAACAAACTTATTTCCTAATTTTACATAGGTAATTTCTTTCCAACTTCACCAATTTTGTATACTACAACTTTCAACAATTTATAGTCGCGTTAATAATTCATAAATGTTCGTAGCTAAGATTTATATAGTTTTTATTAATATTATTTTGATAATATTTAATTGCAGATCTCGCTTTTATCATGGATTATGTCAGTTTGCTACTGTAATTCGCCTTAAGAACCGTATTGTGGCGCTAGGGACAGTCAAAACAATAGTCTTAACCTAACCTCTAGAAAGGAGTTAATCTTTATACGTTGCTAAAAGTTATAAGTTATTTCGAATTATAAATCATCAACTGTAATCTATAAATTATTTGTACAAAGTATTTATACATCTTTCTTCATTGTATATAATAATTACGCATAATATTTACTTCCCGATATTATTTGACGGTTGCGGTAACCTAAAACTCGATTGTTTATTACTATAGATAATTAAGCATGTTATGATATGTATCAGATTATTTCTGTTTCGTAAACATATCTGCATCAAAACGAACAATAAACAATATCTACGTTATCATAAGCAGTGAACAGTGTTTCGATAAACACGTAAACAATCGATGGAAACAACAATTACATGAATCATATCAAATATGTCAACAGAAAAAAAGCAAACAATATGTTTAATAAAAGATTTGAAACTACTTGACAAATCCGAATTGATAGAAAAAATAATAAGACTAGAAGAAAACAACAAACAATTAAAAGCCACAGTTAACAGGTTAAACAAAAAATCAAAACTCAATACTGTTACTAAATCAAAAAGGCCATTCGATTTCACAAAATGCACCAAAAGACACATTCTTCTGAAATTTTATTATCTAGGATGGGATTACAATGGTTTCGTTGTGCAAGATAGTATCAACGACACCATAGAAGATCATTTATTCGCTGCACTGACAAAAAGCTGTTGTATAGAGTTTCGAGAAACTTCAAATTACCATAGATGTGGTAGAACAGACAAAGGTGTCAGTTCTTTCTCACAGGTAATTTCAATTGACGTACGAAGCAGATTAAAACTCGAGGATCAACACAAGTTAAATGAAGAACTACCATATTGCAAGATGTTAAATAGGTTACTACCTTCGAGCATAAGATGCACTGCATGGTGTCCTGTTCCACAAAATTTCTCTGCAAGATTTGACTGCAAATTTCGAACCTACAAGTACTTTTTTCCAAGGGGAAGTCTGAATATAGAAGCCATGGACCAGGCAGTGAAGTACACCATAGGAGAGCATGATTTTCGTAATATCTGTAAAATGGATGTAGCAAACGGAGTCACCAATTATAAGAGAACGGTGCTCGATGCGAAAGTATTGTTGCACAGAGCAGATTGTAGAAACATTCCAGCATACGATATGTGTGAAATGAATATAAAGAGTCATGCATTCTTATGGCATCAGATTCGCTGTTTGATGGGAATTCTATTGCTTGTCGGTCAAGGAAAAGAGCAACCAGAGGTTATTACAGAGCTTTTAGACATTGTTAATTGCCCTAGGAAACCGCAATACAATTTGGCTCACGAGTTACCATTGAATCTTTGGTATTGTGAATACGATGTTAACGAGTGGTACAATGATAAGGAAGAACTAATGAATACAATAAAAACACTACAGAAAGACTGGACCATCAATACAATCAAATCTGTTATGATAGAAAACATGTTGTCTGATTTAGAAACGATTATGGACTCTAATGATTTAGTTTCTCAGAGCGACTCGCTGCTGCTAGGTGTACAATCAAGGATTTATCAACCACTATTGAAGAGAGTCACCTGCGATAGTTTGGAAACCAAGATAGAACACTACGACAACAAAAGGAAGAGAAAAGAATAATATACGACGATTAAAGAAATGTACAGACCATTTTAAGTCAATAAATTATATAGTAAATTCGTATTCTCGATTTTAAATATTTCTAATAAATTATTAGAAAATTATTTGCGGAGTGTGTGAACGTTAGAAATGCAAATGAATTACTTACCTCGGGTCCTCGCGCTTTCCTCCATTTATACGAATCGAATATTCGAAAGGAACCCGGTGCCATTAAAATTCCCGTTCTACCCGCTACCCGTTATTGCATTTCACTTCGGTCACAAAGAAACTCGCGCCATTTTCGCAATTTCTCCCGCGAAATTGCAAGATATTCGTCGTGTGCGGGGCATCCCGGGAATTTCTTTGGGAATCCGACCGGAAGGACTAATCAAATCTATCAATTTGCGACGGGCTCTTCCGCTTCAATATCCGGGGACATCTTAGGGGGAACACAGGGCGACAAAGACTGCCACCTGGGACACGTACCTGGCTCCATTAGAGCAGCTAAGATCGCTTTTAGGTTGTTGTTTGCTCCTAGTGGCAATTCTCAGTGATTCCGGGGCAAAGAGCAGGGTCCACCTGAGGGTCCAACAGGTACCTTAGGCAGAGATAGGGTATCTATGTAAAGTTTTGAAGGAACGGAACTTACGAAGAGCTGCATAATGATGCATAAAACCGCATTAAAGGATCGGCGAGATCACGGAGTTGAGACAGCAGTGTGTCGGTATGAGCGCTCGCCCTAATAAATAACTGACAGTCTAGGGAGCCGGGGTTGGGGGCTATGATCCGAGTTATGCGTGGAAACCTCGGGGCTATTCACGGCTTTCACGGTGCACCCGGATTTGCATTGCCATCATTGTCGCGATCTGAATCGGTTCCATTGTTGTTTTGACTTCCATTGTTGTTAACCCCTTCAATGGGCAAAGAATTCTAGAAGGGAATCATATCGTAGACGACATCTCTATCACAATCATTTCAATATCTCGCGACTAACAGATACGCCATCTATTTTTTCCTGTGGGTACACACAATCGTACAATGAATTTTTGCTAACCTTTAAGATCAATTTATCAAAAATCCAAGATCTTTTTTACTCACTCTATCGTAGCAGCATAGTTTTACGGAGCACGTCGTACCCTTTTCCCCTAGGATTAAGTTATAAGCTTCGAGCGTCAGTTAGCCAGAATTATAGATTCGCTCGGGGAAACGCGGGGGACCGGGTATATACGGTACACGCCCGGGCGCGGAGTAAATAAATCTTTATTATGTCAGTGCTCTGATCGCGTACGCCGTTGCTGCCCGGCTTCTGGACGTGTACATAACATTTGCAAATACAGCAGCGCTAACGTCAACGAGCACTCACGTTACCAGCACTATATTAACGCGACGGGACCGAAACGTTAATCCAGATGCGTTGATAGCGTGAATTTATTAGCCAGCAAATTCATTATCGGCGAGTACACGTGATTTGCAGTGTGTCATGAAAATCACCGGGCCGAGGAATAGTGTCGACGATGTCTGTCGATATTGCCGTCGAAATCGTTCGCACGCTCGTTTTCTGTCCTCCTAATAACTACGTCGGAAAAAGATGTTTCCATTTCCGGAGATAAAAATATTTAAACCGGTCCTCGTGGACGTTGCACTGACTAGCGAGTAGCGTAAGTTAGTTCCTGTTGATCGACGGCCAGATGACGCGACTGGTGGAACATCCGAAATTGTTTCTTTTTTTTTCCAGGAACAATCGAGCGAGGATTTTATTAGAGAGGAAATATTTAGTAGCGAACCCCGACTTGGAAATAAAAGGCAAGTTGGAACGGAGCGCCGCCGTTATCGGATCGGGAGGGGGGGATTATTCGTATCAGGAAGTTCGTTAGGGGCTGATACGACGTCGAATCCTTTTTCACGCCGGCCCGCTAATTGAACTAGTTTGGCAAGGTGTCTCGTTCCGGACTTTAGTAGTCCGATACCGTTACAGGGACGTGTAATGGCCGAACTGGCCGCTATTCCAATCGTCATAAATTGTCGCGGGGAACGTGACGATCGTACTGAGTAGCCAATAGATGCGCTCTCTCGCCTGTCATTTGACCCCTGCAGCTTCTCCCGGCGTTTCGCGCCCCGGCTATACACGCCCGGTGGCTTTGTCTACCGATTCGCATACGCCAACGGATTTATCAGCACAGGAAGATCGCGTTCGATACAACGAAACGACCCCCGCCTCTACTTCTTCACAATGTTGTCAGATTTTAAATTGACCGTACTTCGTTCTAGGTTTGTACATTTTAATAGCAGTTGCTTACGGAAACATTTTTTTTTCATTTTTAGGATACGATTCGAGACGAAGGAGTGGTTTATTTTAAAAGACGCTATCACGTACAAGAAGAATTGGAGGCTTTTCTCTTAGCTTCGCAGTTGAATCGGCGCTATACATATGATGTGGTACTATAATACGTACGTTCCCGCAAGAAGATGACTCCCAAGACTTCCGGCGCTGGAATATTAGCTTCTTCTGAGGAACGTAACGGAACGCGAAGCATTTCGGGCTCACAATGAGAGGCGGACGTAGACACGAGACGCGATATACGCCGGGAATGGAACACACCGCGGAGATTGTACTAATTAAGTCCCACCTCTCCTATTAATTGCCAACGTTCCAGCCTTGTCAATGCTCGCCGTTCGTCGCTATGGCTGCGGACACCAGCCGTTCATCGCTGCGGCTGCGGCCGCCAGTCATGTAGTTAACAGAATTTCGATATCGACATGCTCCACTTACGTAACTACTTGCTTCTCGATGCTAGATCAAGAGTTGTCCCAACTTCGATACCAACCGCCGCTACTCGCTAATAACAATAACAAATCTGGTTCAGTCCTGTTCTGATAACCGGCGGCGACAACCGCAGTTGGCAGAAATGTCGAAGCTGGTCCGGATGTTTTTGCTACGGAAGGAGGCGGTGGACAATTCTTTGACCAACCTGAGCCCTAATGAACGCGAGTGGAGTTCATAAGACAGTTGTCATTGTGAGAGAGCCTTTCATTATTATTATTTTCGAACAGCCGGGAGAGCCGGTCAGACCGAAGCCAGCAGCATTAATTAATCAGAACTGCATTCAAACCGAGGAAACCTTTCTCCAGACCGGGATGAAACTTGCGAGTATTCTTGGAAACGTTAAAGAGCCCCAGCCTATCCTGTTTTTAATTGATCTCGCGCGGAATTCTGGGGAAGCCGGTCGAGCGATATTGAATCCGTGGATAACTTTTCGCGGAGTTGGACCTCGTCTATCCTGGCACGTCGTTAAGAAAGCCCAGAGGGAACGAACCGGTGGCACGATTTTATTGGACCGATGGTCTAGCGCCGGGAAAAAGGGGTGTACGTGTTTACATTGCCAAGTAAGTAACTGCGGCTCTGGCCTTTCGATACTGTGCTCTAATAACGTCCCGCCCACGCTCTAAATATTTTCTTTAAAGCCCAATTGTTTCTTAATTAAAATTTCAACGGTCAAATTGTTTTTATAGTAATTGGATGCAAGCCAGAGATCGCTTCTTTGTCGACCGATACCTTAACGATCTTCCTGACCGATTCTTTCATCGATCATTAATTTATAGATTTCCTTTTTTATCGATTAATTCTTTGCAAATTGCTTTTTCACCGATTTACTTTGTCTTCGCGAGGATTCGTATGCGCCGTTTTCATTAAATATCAAAACTGGCGTGTACTTTTGGATAAACAGAAACGGCAGATTTATTCTTTACCACAGTATGTTTGTTTGCCCGCAGGAAGGAAATTCGCAGCGAAAACACATTGTCCTAGGAAAACAGGGTGAGGAAATCCCGGGGCGAAACGAGTCTGTGCGCTTTAACGCGTCCTTGCGTTCGAATAATTCGCGGATGCAAATTAGTCCGGGTTTAAACGCGGGAGCCGATATGGAGCGAGCAATTATAATCGCGATAATAACTTTTCTAATTAATTTCGGAAGTTTTAATTCGACGTCCGAACTCATATCCTTGCCGCTGGCCGCAATACAGGTCAATTATTCACCCACTTCCGGCGCCGACTGGCAAGTTCCAGTTTTAATTCGGGCCGGGCATAATGGAATCGTTGTTTCGAAACTTTTTAATAGTTCTCGCCGTTCGTGTCCGCGGAGGACATGTTGACGTCCGGATCCGCCACTTTTGCCATAAATCCGTCGACTTTTACTGTCCGCTCACTTTTTATATCGCATCGTGAATCACCTCTTCGCTTTACTAATTTTCCTCGCGGGACATGTAAGTTAAAGTTACGATTTTTTGTTTTGATATTAACAAATTGAATTATAGACGAACCGTATTTTTAAATTTTCGATAGATGATTCAGATGCACAGAGTTATTCGTGGAGGAATAAACGATTTGTGCTTTTGAAATTTTTCGACTACGCGCGACCAATGGTTCTCGAGATATTCGATCAAATGGATTTTCGAGTCGCTCATCAGGGACGTGACAAAGTCGGGTGCAAGAGGGGAACTCGAGGATCCGACTCGTCAAGAGAAACCGAAGAAGGGAAGGGGGACAGGTGGCGGTCGCCCAACTCGAAGGAACCCGAAAAGCTGACGTTTCGCTTACGTGCAGAAATTGGCAAACGTAGGATATATTCCTTGCATCCAGATGAATTTGTCAAGTGGGGGGAGACGAAAATCCGACAGACGAACCTGGTCGAACCACCTTCGCGTACGCTATCTGCTACAATCCACCAATTATTTATATGAAACCGAAACAAAGGTAGAAAATGTATTCGTACGATTTCATTTTAAATCTAAAGATTCAAATGTAACAAGTCGATATAAAAATTGTCTAGGTGGCGGACGATGTGTCTACGCCAGCAGAAAAATGGCGGACGTCGCCGCCATATTGGACCACGAGAAAACTCCAAGGAGAAAACGGTTCGTGACTCAATCTCGAATTGTCCACCCGTTGACTTTGATAAACGATTGTAAGAAGCCACTGACACTGGCTGAGCATTATGTCGAGCCAGTTCATCCCCCAGAAATCCCCATAGAGACACCATTACCACTTGCTGGCTTCCAGTATCTTATTTCCAATATCACACCCTTTCGCGATATTAATCCGTTTCAGATGTTTGGTAGTCTAAAGGAATCGTATTATTTTTTCGGGATTGGCGGATTGAATCATCGACCTCGACAGGATGTATCAAATCGATTTATCGAACTGGAAAAAAATGATGGGGGTGGTAAGCAGCTCACGGAGCGGCGCTTCGACACCGATTGAAACTTGGCGTGTCCGTGCCGAAGGTGTTGAGTGCATTTCTCGGGGCATGACGTGAATGGCCGAGCGGAGCCGAGTTTTAAAATAAGACAAAGCCCGCCCCCCTGCCCACCCCCTCTGCACCTGGGGTTCTTCTCCTTTCGTTGTTTTCGCAGGGCGATCACGCGCCACCGGCCGTCCAACTTCGCCGGCTAATCAGAAAAATCCACACTCCGGCGACCTTATTGAATTGTCTCTGACGACCGGTCGCTCCTCTGTGCCTCTGATGACGGCCTATTCGCATGAGAGAAATGGGGAGAAGGGGCAATTCCTTTTGGTCTTAGTTTCTTCGTCTCGGGCGTGAGACTACCGCGAGGTTCTCCGTGGGAGACTTGGGACAAGGGTTGCCGGGTCTTGGGAATGAAGCTGTAGGAGGATTTGATATTGTGGAAGATCTTGCGGCGAGTCTCTTCAGTTCAAAGAAAAAGTAACTAGCGACTTCAATGGTTTCTGAATTTTCGGGAACTGTTGTGCAATCTAGGACAGCTACGATGTCCACGGATACCCGATGAACGCCGGTGGATCTCGATTTTTCTCCATTTACTCTTCCTCCGATCCTTTCTTTAATTCTTTCAATTCTCTAGGATTTGTCTTTAAATCCCTGTCTTCGTTAGTTCCGCCTTTTCTTCGATGTCATCCTCAGTCTTCTCCCTAGAATCTGAAGTCTCTGTCCCTTTAGTACCTGGGAATTCCTAGTTCCTAGCCCCTAGGTTTCTAATTTCTTCCCCGGAAGACGATTTTCCACCACGTTGAAGAAGAAAAACCCTCTAAAACCACGGTCTGTAATAGAATTCCCCTAATTACCATCCGACAATCGAATATTCAACATCAATCCAATTAGCAATTCATTGTAAAGTTGTTTCAGGAGTACAAAAATATCCCTAATCTGCCGCAACAGGTAGGAAAAATTCGCAAAAATTAGCAAAGATTAGCTAGCTACTCGTTACAAGAATTTTTCTCCTATATGACAACTAAAAAAGATAATGTATTTCAGGTATCCAGAAGAGGAGTATGACGCAGACAGAATGTGAGTAGTTCTTCCGCGACGAGCTTTACGGTTCCCAGTCAAAAAATTCGCTAGGATCGTCGTATTTTTCCAGAGTTTCAATCCCGAAACGTTTCCATACCCTGTCCGATAAATACGGGGCGACGTTGAACGTGTTACTATAGCGCATTAACGCGGAAATAAAATTTCTGCACGTGACGGGGCCGCTGTGGCAATATCGAATGGGATCGATCGGTGCCGATTCGGAGCCGTTCACCTGCGAAAACACACGGGAAATTTGAGACCGCCGCAGCCGATGCCGTGGAGGGATTCCGAGAATGACTCAATGTTATCGAATTAATTGCCACTGGAATGCAAAGTCCGCTGGAACAAATGCGAATCCGATATCCGCGGGGATCGCTTTGCGCTTTTCGAACACGCGGCCCGTTCGCGCCGATAAATAATCAGAATCGGCGGGAAGGTTGACGTCATTTGTTCGCACGTTCTTCTAGGTTCCAAAAATGATTTTTCTATCTAATTGTCGTCATCGGTTCAGGTAAAATTTAACGCGAATGGCCGTCCGAAAATTCGATCAATGGTAATCCGATATCGAGTAATTTATAAATTTGTAAACTACATAATTATATGCATGATTATATAATTTTAGCAGGACCGTCTTTGCAACACAACGTGCGAAAGGAACAATTACTCCGGCCTGGTCTCTCTTCCGCTACTTAATCTCGAGCAGCCATAGGACAAGCTATGTTATTTAATTAAATACTCGCCGAGCTATGGCTAATGAAGCAAGGATGAAATATTTCCGGATACATTACAACGGAACGCCGGTGATTCTCGCAGCCGTCGTTGCGCCCTATCACGCGTATTCCCGTCGGTTTATCACACTGTGCCATGCACCGCTGGAAAATTCGAATAAAATATATCAGTCGGTTAAATAAGCCACGAAATTACAGGCAGCTCTGGCCGAACGTTGCAACGACAGCTTCTATTAAATGCCTCGTTGCAGAACATTCTAGCAAGGACCTCAGAAACCGCGAAATTAATTTCATTCTACAAAGATCGGACCGCAACGCTGCACTCCTCCATTTATTCTCCACGCGGGGAGGCACGCGAAAGGAGAACCAAAAAGTATAGCGAAGTTCTGCAAACATTGCGAAACAACATGCAAAGGATTGCACATCGAAAACTGTTCTCGTTTTTCGTTTTTTTGAGAAAAATCGCCGAGTTGACATTGGAGTATCGTTCCAAAGCAAATAGCATTTTTATTATACCAGTTTTTTCGAGGACGCGAGTCAGCCAGGACGAAAAGAAAATATATCTCGACACCACCCTCGCACGTTCTCCAACAAAATGCAGAAGCTGCACCGCGAAAGCTCCACAAATTTCCCAAGGAAAAAATCGCAAAGATAACACTGGAATATCCGCTATAAGCAAATAGTATATTACTATAGTATTTTTCCCGAGGACACCGGCGACCGAACACGAAAGAAAAATACGCCTCCATCTTCTCCGAACATTGCGCAAGAAGACGCAAAAAATCGCAGCTCGGAAGCTCCGCTTATAACGGCAGAAAAAAATCGCGAAGCTGCTCATAATGTGATAGCCGCGCGGACACGGTCGTCCAACTGGTCAACGGGCATCAAGGGGCGCAAAGGCGCTGGTTGGCGCGGGGCCATCTAATACACCATTCCTCTTTACACCGACCTCGCATCATTGCTCTTTACATTTTTTCCGTTTTCCCATCCCGGCCCGGCCCCTTGTTAAACCCCGTGGACATTCTTCGCATTGGCGATTCCTCGTCCACCGGAAGTCGAGGAGAGGACCCTGGATCGGAAAATCAGTAGCTCGCACCTGTCGACCCTCCGCGCGTCTTCCTCCGATGCATATATGCATGCGTTATGCATAATCCAGGCGCGTCGTGACCCCGGTCCACGTAGACCTGCTAGAATGAATCGCGTAACACGCCCCGCGTCTAGGGGAATTCTATCCGGTGCCCGCAAAGTGCTGTTTGCTGATCGATTCTGATGGGAGCCGGCAACTTCGCCAACGGAACCTCGAAACTCACGGAAAATTACGAATTTCCACGTTTGCTCCGTTTCCTCCATCGAACAATTTCCTCTAATACCGGCGAACAAATAGATGTCAATTGTTCCGCGCCTGGATAATCGCTGGACTTGAGACTCTACGGGATGGCGTACCAAGAAAAGTCTCTCCGGATTATTATAAAACAAGGAACAACTCGGGAAAAATCGTTCGACAGATTTGTCGCGTTTATTTGATACAATATTCGCCATGAATAAATTGTCCGACGTTATTCGAGCTCATGTTTGAAATTAGAATATCGGATCAGCGAAGTTTGCTTCTAAAACAAACTTCCGCATTAATTAGACAGAAATCAATGTAACTAGACACCCGTGCTCGCCGAGCGGGTGACAGAGGACCGGGGACACCGTGTGCTCCCCGAGAACCCGAGCCCGAAAGTGTATTGCGATTTGTTAATTAAAGGAAACCTAATCAGCTGACAATAACTAAAAAAAAAAAAAACGGAAAAAGAGCGGAAAAAAAACGCGAGGAAAAGGAGCCAGCCCGTGAAGAGGAAATTCACGCGAGCGGGAAAATCTGCTGAATCAAAGAGGAATTCAATTATCGTTTGTCTCTCCCTTGCATCGCGGGGCTCGCCTAACCGAGTCAGCGTGCCCTCGGCTCAGATAAAGTCTCGTCTTTTTCATAAACGCAGGATAGCGTCATCGGCTCTATCTGCGAATAAAATCTCCGGGATCCGAGACCGCGTGAATTAGAGATTTAATCTGGGAGATTAGTTTTTCTACCATTCCGGCCAGCGAGCAAGGGGACAGGAAGCTTTTTGGCTCGAGAGCCCCGAAAGGTAGGCAATATGTGTGTCACGTGCTAGCCGGCGCCTCCTTCGGGCCTGCAACCCGGCCAACACCCACGCCTGCTGGCACATCGTCTGCACCCTTGGCCAGCAGCTCGCCCATTGGCAGCGGATGGAGCTGGCTGGGCACTCGATCGAGTCGAGCCACTCGGAATCCTGATCAATTTCGCCCTACCGGGATTTTTGCTATTTGAGCGATTTCCCTCGCTTTTCGATTCTCTGCCATTTTTACAATTTTTCCCCGCGTTTTTTATAATACCTTCGGATCGCCTCGATTCGGCCTGATCAACGGGTTTTCAGCGCTTTTTTATGTCCTTTATCGTACACTCAATTTCTCTAGAATTCACTTCGATACTTCAACAGCGACGACTAGACCGGCGATATTTGTGCAAAATAAAAATTGATTCAAAAAAACTTACCGAGTCGAGTCGAGTTTATCGCGCTGTAAATCTTTACTTTTTCCCTCGAACACCCATTCTATTCTGCAACTTCAATTTCCGCGAACACTTTCCACCGGCAATCCGCCATTTTGGTCTATTGAACACGTGAGAAAATTGTCGCGCGGAAAGATCAAGTCGATGTCGTCGATCTATCGATGTCTCGTCACGTGGTCGGGGATTCCAACATGGCCGTGCCGGCATCGGAGGCGGCAGCTAGTGCTCCTCGATTAAGCAACGAAAAAGTGGTAATTATCGTGTGATTGTAATTTCAATGATCCTAGATCGAAATATTGTGATTTAGGCGTGTAGTGCATGTTCGTATTAGGTGTGACAAAGACGACAACTGTCTCGGTGGACACAAGTTGTCAGGGAGCCTGCACGATTTCTACGGGACGAAACTTCGAATGTTCAAAAATAGACCAGCGAAAGGTAATGTACCAGCTTCAATAATTCCAATATTCAACAATTCCAACGATTATTATTAAAATTTAATATTAAATGTCGCACGCTGTCGCGCGCTTGTCTCGCGCATGGCAGAGCCAGGGAAAATTAGTTCCGTAATTCGCCGCCATAGATGGCGCCACCGCAGCGATTTTCATGAGAAAAATCGGCGCGCAAATGGCGATTAATTTGAATCGAACATCCCTCGCGTCTAGAATCAATTGGACTAGGCAAATATCGAACGATTCATCGGGTTTCAATTATTATGACATGCATGGTTTTCAGAAACAATTAACGTTTCACTTTTGTACAGGCTTAATTAACACGGTTTTGTCGTATCAGAATACGAAATGAACGACCGACAATCGGTCCATTGTTATTTCGCGCCGGCTTCGTTACGAATTAATTAGCCGCTGACCAAAAATTAATTAATTTCCCCATTGTTTATTCGTCACCGATGTAAGTTGCACAATGCCATTTATCGGCTAATTGGGTATGAAATTTCGAGAGCAGATCATTTCACTACGATATTTTCGGAGGAGGTGACACGGGCGTTCGACAATGTTTAAATTTTTAATTAATCCGATTTGTAATTAACCAGTTGTTAGCAATTTTCGGGAGGCACCGTTCGTTAGAGAACTCGATTAAATTAAAATTAATTATTATTTTTCACTTATCGATTCGGGGTGCTGGGACGGACCCCTAGCGACATTGTAATACGTATCTGCTGTTGAAAAAAAATTCCGAGGGCGTTGAAAAAAAATAGCAAATGATTACTCGACTCTCAACTGATTTTCTGAAGGCGTTGAAAGTGTTCTCGCGTCTCGCGAAAATTAAAAAATCATCAGAAAGATATCCCGAGTATCCGGAACATCTTGATGGGGGTTCGAAAAGGTCCGCACCCCCCGGGGGTAAATCGACTTTGGATGGGTGCCCGTGAAAATTCGTGATTGTCGCGGAAATTCCGGTCCCTCGATCCTTAGAAGCCCGGCATCGGTGTTTATCGGAATTCAGCTCACGAAACAGCCCCTACTTCTTGCTCCCCTGCACAAGAACGCCACCCCCTGCGGCCCTGACGCGTTGCACGTGACCCCGGAATACCCATAGCACTGGCCACCCCCGCGCCAGAGTCGATACACCGTGGGAAAAATAATAATTTCGACTAACTATCAATTACAACAATTAATTACAATTTCTACCAAACGTTCTATCCGCGAACCGTTCGGTCTTACATTTTTCCTATCCTCCACGAGCGAGCAAAAATTTGGAAAAAATTCCAGTAAATAGAATCAGTACGCAGCTGTTATTCGTCTTTTGTTTCACTCGAATATCTTGAAAACTCGCCGAGAGAAATAGTCACGAAGTTGACCCTGATCTTCCTCGCTCACGCAGGGGGTTGTTTTCGAAAATATTTTTCTGGATACCGAAAAGGTGACCTAAAATTTTGAAAAAATTGCAATTGATAGAGAAAATATACAGCGACGCGATTAATTTTATACGGGTGTCTCAAGCAGTCGCCGGAGTAACGGGGCTGCGATTGAAATTCGTAACTGGAGAAAACGTTATCGCGAATCGGATCGGGCGCCGGGAAAATGATGAAATCGTTGACATAACAAACTCGGAGGGCCCTAAATCCTCTGGGCCATCGAGATTCACGGTCGACCGTTACGAGCGTCGCATAACAAATTACCGAAGCGATTCGGAGCGTACGAGCGTGTACTCGCAGACAAAGATGACGATCAATAAAGAATGGCGCCGCGTTCGGTGAATTTGCGAAGGTTCAGCGATCACATTGATTAAAATGTGAGCCGTATAATTCACGCACGGAATCGCCGGGCAGGAGACACCGTCGAAAAATCGTAATTTCCTTTCGCCAGCGGCTCGGCGTCGACGCCGGATGAAATCGCTGGCAGACGACGCGTTGCACGGTGCCGATACACCTAAATACTGACTATCTAGCGTAATTATGGCCGGCCGGCCAATAATCCTTTGACGGGTCGTATCGTTTCCGCGATTATAAAAGCCCGCGACGACGAAAATGAGCTGGAGACTCCACTGTCCCCTTAAAATCTAACTGCAAAGCTCGCCAATCGACGCGTTTCGAACGGGAATTATCGCATGAATTATCGTTGAATTATCAAAGTTGAGAATCGCCCTTTTCGAATAAAATACACGGTAGATTACAGGCGCGGGTTTGCTCTACTACGTAGATTTTTTTCCAAATTTTAGCTCGTTTTGAAAAGCCAGAAAATTAATTTTTGAGTCGAGAAACTTCGAATCTGAGTCGAAACTTGCGAACAACCCCTAACTTTAGGGGCAATTTTCTCGACGACTGCTCGCGATATTCGCACGAACTAAAATGCAAAATATAGCTACAAGTCAGCTCTATCGCCGGTAATTTTCTCAAAATTTTTACCACAATCTGCGTATTCGGAAAAAATAATTTTCGGAAACGATCCCCGTTTGGTCGGATACCGAGCGAAGGAAAACCGAGGGCCATTGAACAAAGAAATTCGAGTGTCGGCCATAGTGTATCCGAGGGTCGCTAATTTGCTCGGAAAAAACGTCTAGCTCGATTGCGATTGTCACCGCAATTGCTCGCCGTTCTTACGTGCTCCCCTAAATTTCGAACGCGGAATTGCCGTGGCGTGAGCGCGCGCGCGCCCGCGCGCTCGCTCGCAGCAGACAAATGGTGTTCTTACAAAAACCGGTAGTTCCACGCCGCTGCCGGCTGGGCCATTACGATTTAAATTAGTTTCCTCGAGGGCCGGGCATCGGAGGAAGAGAGAATGATAATAGCAGAAGGGAAATAAAACTAGGAAAAACTGAAAGACAGAGGGTGGCCGCGGCGTATTCAAAAGACCTCTCGCTCTGAATATCAACCGGCAGATATATGCAGATGGATATTTATTGAGAAAACTCGAATAATCACCCTTTCAATCATCCGCTACCCGTTTTTGCGGACACTTGCCTCTCCGACATAATAGTCAACTAAAAAGACACTTCCGCGAACCTCTCGCACAAAGAAGCCCATCTTCAATAGCAATTTCCTCGGGAACTATTCGAGACATTCGAATGAACCGAACTGCAAACAATAGCTCCGTATAAACTGTATCTTAACATATATTTTTCAAAATTTTATCTCGCTTATCGGGGACGAGAAAAATGATTTTCCGAAACAACCCCCTCGGCGTTGACTGAACAATTTTCGAATATTCCTTAGAAACGAGGCCTAACTTTACACGCACATATCTCGCCAACTATTCCAGATATTCGAACGAACTAAATTGCAAATAATAGCTATACGTTGGCAGTGTTTCGTGTATTTTTTTACGAAATTTTATCTCGCTTACCGAGGCCAGGAAAAATGGGTGCCCGCAACAACCCCATTGGCGGTCAAAGGGATCGCGGGCACTGGCGTAGCAAGTAATTCGTCGAGTTACTGTACGAGCATGAAAAGCCATAATAGTAGTGACCGATTCCACGAGTTGTTAATGCACGTTCCACCAGCCGAAGTTGCAGTGGGTGGTCCATTAGAATCGGGC